CTGAAGCTCCGGATGGTAGTAATATCACCATACCCCCATCTGGCGGCCTCTTCTCCAACCACTGTAAGAACTTCATGATGTGTGTGGGGGGGCTATGGTCACCGCTTCCATATTGTTGGTGTAAGGTTCATGCGCTGTCCTTGGCGACTTTATCCGGGAGAAAGCTTTGGCGGAGATAGATTCCTCGATACTGAGTAGGAAGGCTGAGGAGAGGATCGAAATAGGAAGACTAAAGAGGCTGGCAGTGCAGTACACTGGGAAGGTAGTAGTACTATGATGATGCTGTTGGGCATGAGGTTGTTGTTGATAGATGGAACATCGAGAGGGACAGTTGGCTGCATTAAGAGCTCAGAGGGAAGCTAAGAGGGATGAGGGCAAAGAGGTAATGAAACTTATGCTTACCAGTTTGGATGGGTATAAGGCAGAGTGAAGTGGATGAACGAGAGAAAGACTGTGAGACACTAATAGAAGAGTACGGGCAGGTCATTAAACTAGTTCAACAGGAATGTGAACATCGAGAGGAAGTAAGTGATGTGCATTGAAGACAGATGAATGGTACCTGTATATGTATAGGTATTGGAACAACTCGCAGCATACGAGGAGAAGATGAAAACGGTTGAGACCATAGAGCTAGCACTGGAGTCCACGAGTGCCGCCGCCGCTGCCGGTGGAAAAGGAAAAGGCGGAGGAACGGTTGGTCAGCCGATTGATCTCTACGCAGACCCTCTTAGAGTGGCTGCTGCTCTGGTGTGTTCGTATAATGCTTCTGATTGCCCATCATGTCCTGTAGATACCCCCACGTAGTAAGGTATCGGTCATAGGCAAACCCCATACTGTTACTACTGACGACGAGGCGAAAGACTCTGAAGCAGCAGCTCCACCACCGGGGGAGCCCTTCTCGTTAGTGAGCTCATGATGGTGTGTGTAACAGTCGAGATGCTCTCGTCTATCAGATACTACCCCTTCGTGTGATAGATAGAGATGAGAGAGTTAGAACAGCCCTCAGGACATGTGCATGATCATCATGATCATCATCATCCTGATGCCTCATCTGACTATCTGGTGACCTATCAGACAGAGACCGTTATATTGTGTTATCATTAATCGGCTCCCCGTGGGTGTAGCGAACAGGCATTCTCACGTGTCCTCAGAATCATTGAGAGCATTGCATCCTGAGAACACATTGTAATTTAGGGCATCTATTAGGGCCAGACTGAGTCTATGATCATATGAGTGAAGGCATTCTCCTTCTTCTCCTTACACAGCACCCCTTCGACCAGGCGAGTAATAGCCAGTATAGGGGTTTGGCTGCAGGCTCAGTCACTGCTGCCTGAGCCTGCAGTATGAACCCGTAGACAGTGTGTTACACGGCAGAGAGTTCGGTAAGTAGGAAGGCATTGGAAGTTCCAGTTTAGAACGATCGATGGACGTTGAAACCTCCCACAATGTAGAGCCGACTTGATCCTATGTTGGTCCCTAGAACCGCAGTGATTTCCTTACAGTTATGATAAGGCTCGTGATTATCATGCTCAAGACGCTGAATATTTTTACCATATTTCAATAACCGTGATTCATTCATCCTGCTCCTATCAGTAAGGTTACTGTATCAACTTCATTGCTTCGTATTCTCTCCACCACTTCACGTTATTGCGCATCACTG